AGCTAAGGTCATGATTCGAAACATTTAGATGTTTTGAAACCACGATATTGGTGTTTTTGCAGAAGAATACGATGATGGAAATTCTTTCTACTCATGTTTCTAGTCTAAATAACATGGTTAGATCACTTTTATTATTAGCTTCGCAACCTAGAAAGAGCTATGAGCATGAAGATATTCTTAATTCTAATTAAGTCGTTCCATTCTCCACCTTTGATTTTAAGTAAAATTATAGAAACAGGGATAACATACCTAATCATATATAAATAAGAAAGTTGTCTTTTTTCCCACAAATTTCATGTTCTCATTTTCATGATCGGTTATATCTCTCAACAAATTAATGCAAGACTGAGAACGAGCCTAAAAACACATTCTTTTTATAACATTGTATCAAAATTCGTTTGATCAAATCTTTTGCCTTATATCTTCAGAATCTCCTCGACCTACACAAAAGCCTCCTCATAGGCTTCAAACCGTACTTGAGGGTAATGTCCTGTCATTGGAGGGTAGCGGTGGCAAAAAAAGCTCGGGGCTCGGACGGCTCTGGGGCTCGCCTCGTAAAAAGCCCGAGTCGGGTCCGGCTCGAGCTCGGTCGAACTGAGCCCCATTTTGGGGCAACGGCCCAGCTCGAGCCGGCCCGTATCACAGACCGAAATGGCCAGTGTCCAGTATTAGTAAAAAAATAATAATAATAAAATTTTTTTTTTAATTCAAAATAAAAGCTGCATGTTGTGCATGCAGCTAGTCAGCTACAAAATTGTAACTGCCTCACAGTTCAAAATTAGCTGCGTGCACGCAACAACAAAATTTAAATTTGAATTGAATTGTCTTGTCAAAAATTTGAATTTGTAAATTAATTATAGTTAAAACGGATGTATTTTTTTGTCTATAAATACGAGAAAAATTTTACAAATTCATATCAATCTATCTCAAATTTCTTTACGCAATATTCAATTTCAGTATTATACTCTTAAATTTCTTTACGCAATATTCAGTATTTTACTCTCCAATTTCTTTTGCTCTATTTTTCAATATTCTTTACTATAATACT